TATTTAAAAGTCGGTGCTATAGTTCGGATATTTTTTCTTTTCTTGTTGCATTACACAGTTTTACTAAAGTAAATGACTCATTGTCTTGATACATGCTCAATCATCCAGGTAAGTACACTGAAAAAAAGGGATTGGCCAGCTCTTGGATTTACGTAAGCATCTTGCGTGTATTTAACACAATTGCCTCATGCTTTAAAGTTAAGTGTAACTACATAGTGTAGAAACTACATGACATGCAGAGAGGCTAGATTAAATTGTTTATATCATGTTCAAGTGAAGTAAGTCAATAATATATCAATGTTAAATCCCACGACACTGCACGGGTTTCAGACTCGCGCTCTTTAGATCGTGGTTTCAGGAAGGCATCCATCTCAGTCAAGTCGAGCAGCCACCTCTACTGTTTTTTACCAAAAAAAGTAAGTTGGGTGGTTGTTACATTAAAAAAGTCTAACTTGTAATTTGAACACAATAATTTCATGTTTCTATGAACGTAATTAAATCATGAAGAATCTGTACGAAATTCAACAACTTAATTTGTTCTTGTTGAGATGAGCTGATACAATCTAGTGAGAGTGGTTAGTTGCTGAACTCATGAAATTCACAAGATCGCACAAGATTTCAAACTGCAGGAGTTATAAGAGGCACTACACACGCACCACGTGCATGCTATTGCTATTGCTATTTATTGTGTATTATTACAAAACAAAACAATTCTGCATCAAATACAGGAAATCATAGCTTTCCTACATTTCCTAGATTGTTGGCATGGTGGTTAGTGCTGTTGCAAATGGTTGTTTGTTTCTATGTGATAGACTGGTCAGCTGTCCAGGGTGTACCGTGCCTTGTAACCTATCACTTCAGGGTTATTTCCCAGCCCTCCTGCAACCAGGATAAAGATAGAAGGATGGTAGTTGTTGAAGACCCATTCAATTTTTATGGTAACCAGGATCTAGACTTTGTTGAACATTATGTAATATGAAGACAGCATGTAGTATTTAAGTGACCAAGTAGTATTGGGGTAAAAGTTATTGAATACTGTTGAAATAAAATGACAAAATTGTGAAGGATTAAAATATTCCAAGAGCTCAACTTACTTCATCTGAACATGTTTCAATCGCATTTTATGAACACAAAATGCACAGGTTTATTGAATATGAAAAAGTTGTATTGATTTAACTCAGTTGTTTAAGTTTCTGCCAAAGCAAAACATTTGTGTGCAACCAATGTCCATTATTGAATCAAGTAAATCCAACATGGCCTTTTTTTCAGTGTACATCCCCAAAAGTGGATTTTGTTCATCTGGACATAGCGTTTTCAGTGGGAAGAACCTTTTTGTCACTCAGCCAAGTGACTCCTGCAGTGCAAAAAACCGACTCATTAAAACATACTAATTACAACAGCTAATATTCATGCTTTAACATTCCCACATCTTAACATATCTTAAAATATAAGTAAAGTTATTTTTATTTATAGCATTAAACATAACTGACATTTTGGTGCATAGCAAAACTGTCAGTCATACAGTCATAGAGTCATAGAGCATGGTTAGCACCCTCATGACTTACCATATTTGCAATGGGCAATTAAAAATGGTACACTCATACTTTTTTGAGGTATAGTAAATATGCTTCAATTGATAGTCATTAATTAAGAGCTGTTAGTGACACTGAGTTAGTCATGACTATGCTTTCTGTGTTTTTTCCCTCCCCTTTTGGTATCCTGTTCCTGCTGGATGAGCCACTTCATGATAATCCTCATCTGATGACTCCGCTGCGCTATCCTGCCTGGTAGATTCTCCTTGCTGCAGGTGTATGCTTCTGCCAGCTGGATGCTGTTACTGGATAGTACACCGTTCCAATGGAGCGGTAGGAACAAATTGAAACACACTAAAAGAAAAGGGTTATTGTTTAAAATTGTGTTTTAATAAATGTGTTAATGTTAATTAAGTGTTCATTGTGTGCTGGAGGTCCTACTGGTCCTATGGTGGAGCAGCTACTACCTCTCCTTTAAGAAACTAGCCTCTGATGGGATACAGATATTTGGGACACATTTCAATTCTTGTAAGGGTTTAAAAAATACACAAACTTGGAAGAGTTGGCTGGATTTGTACAAAATGAGATGGCTGGCAATGGAAAGATGCAATTCGATTGTTACATGTTTAACCCTTTAAAGCCGGTCGGAGCAGGCACGCTCTGTTTTGCGTAACTATTTTTAAATCCCTGTAGAACCGGGAACCGCATAAGCTAGCGCAATAATATTTTTTGCATATGAAACCAGAGGAGTTGTACTTACATCTTATGCCATCAGCTTGTCCTAGGTCACGGTTTCCTTCCACATATAGCTTTGCAAAAATTGCATAAAAAGCGCTTGCAGTAAACATAATATTCCAGAAACACGCTTTGCTGATCCGATCAGCTGTTCGTATTCCAGATGTATTTCATTTTCAATCAAGATGGCAGAGCTGTAATCTTGCTCTAAAATTATATATTGTAATATGAAAATTGTAAAGTTACTTAACCTGTGAGTCCTTGGTAAAGACATTCTCTTCAAAGTGAACGCTGCAAAGATGAGATGCAAGTTTCAAGTACAGTACAAAACATGTAGTTAAGATGATGGTTTTTAATTAGCTGCTGTAAAACAATGTAATAATAAATAAATGCAACATGACATTAACTGCTTTTTAGGTAAGTACTTTATGTACTTTTGGAGAACTGTTAGATCATCCATGTTTTCTACAGTCATTGGTTTGCTGGACAAAGTGGCCCACCCGAGGGGTCCCCTGCCATTGACCAGCAAGCCACCCTGGCTGAGGATCATCTGGTTGCCAGGGCAGAAGGAGCAGAGCATGCCAGGCAGTCATGGAGGTACAGCACTCTAATAAGGTGTCAAGGGGGTATACACCAGGCCTTGGTGGACACGGGCTGCACACAGCTCCTGGTTCACCAAACCCCGCTTTGCCCCGGGACATTATTGGTGTTGCAGTGGGTGGAGGTTACATGTGTACATGGGGGCATTCACAGACAAAACACATGGAATAAAGGCTGCAGTCAGTTTGTACCTGTGGCGTCCTCTAATTTTAGGAACACGTTGGCAGGGATTTAATAAACGTTTGAGGCAGTATGTGGGGTTCTGATCACCATATTAAGTAGTGTGTAGTATCTGCGTGGCGCTCAGCGGTGATGCAGGGTTGTCCGACGCCGATTCCGATGATTCGCCCCACAGAAGATTTTCCACTGGTGACACCCTACGCTCAGCCTTTGACAAAGTGATAGAAATTGATGATCACTTCCTGCTGCGTGGACCTACCCTCGCTTTGTACTATTGAATGATCCTAACAGAAAAAAACAGAGTTAACACTGACTTAATAAAAAAGTGTTATATTTTATCTCAGATAAACTAGTCAGTGTTTATTAGTGTTTGCTCAACTAGAAGTCTTCATAGTAGCATCCACACATCAAGTCTTTAAACAAATAATGAAAGGATAATGAAAGAAAGTTTAATGTGAAATTACTGAATTATATGAAATATTATGGCTTTGTCTGCCAGAGTGTTTTTCTTTAAACTACTTGGGACACTACCTTTTAGTGATGTCACTAAAAGGCAAGGTTCTAATGTTGTGTTGCCATAGTCTCCGGAGTTTACTTTTAAAGCTCACTTACAGAACTGACTTATACAGCTTAGTTAGAAAAGTCAAGCATCCAGACATTTGAAGGACTATTCACTCATTGAGGTGACATTTTCTATTTTAAAAGTTCTCAAAAAATTAAGATGAAAAAGGAAACAAGAAAAGTTACGACTGAGGCAGATAAGAAAGATCCAGGAGATCAAAGTAAGTTAAAAAAAAAAATCCCCCAAATAACATAATCTACATTTCTAACAATGTTGAGGCTCTGTGTATAAAATGATTCATTTTTAGAGGATTTAAATCCTGGTTTTGATTGAAACTAACCTGAGTGCAACATGTCTAATCAAAGAAAGGTTACTGGGGCACTTTGTCTTTTGGTAAAATAATGTGTTTATTCTTGGACTGAGCAGTGAAAACAGAGCAACAAGTGTCATCAGTATCTAGACTTAGTAGACCTAGTATGGACTCGTGTTGGTGTGTTTTTTATCAAAAGGATGAACTTGTTATTATATTGTAAGCAATACTAATTTAAAATTCAATGACATCAAAATCCTTCTAGTCCTGATGTCGAGCGCTCTTTTTCACTAATGTGTTGTTGTTGTTGTTGTTGTTTATAGATTGTAAGAGCAGGATGGCTAAAAGAAAGGCCAGTCCTGAAAAAACGACCCCCATAAAAAGAAGGAGGGTCACTGAGCAGGCTGGTCCTTCCACCAGCTCAGATGCTCATGTGGTCAGGGGAGTCAAGCGAAAGGTCCAACAAGATGAAGCGGGGACAACCAATACAGCAAAAAAGCGTAAACTTCTTGACCATGTGAGCGGTGACAAGGGGCAGGCATCTTCCTGGTTGGACACTGGTAAAGGTAGGCTAATTAGTTGAGTGAGGGGTAGATTAAGTGTACATCTGGTTGCTAGTTTGAAGGTATTAGTGTTTGGGAGATATTTGTGTCTATTATCTAATAAGCTGACGTGCTTTTGGTGTTTTCCACATCTGCAGACTGCAGCATAGAGATTTCAGAGAGCTGCAGTAAAAACAAAAAGGCTGGCAAAAGGAAAGCTGCGGGAGACACCAGGGACCCACCTAAGAAAAAGAACGTGGACCAGGACAAAACCAAAACTGTTGCCAAAAAGTCAGTGGCTGAACAGAAACGTAAGTAGCAAGCAGCTTAGCTTTTATATTCAGGTGAAGAGCAAAATGAACATTTAGGGTACAGCAGAGAGTAATTTGTGTGACAGCTGTAGTAAAACCCAATTTGTGTTTGTCTGTTTAGGAGACTTCCAAGCGAAATACGTGGAGGAGCACCGGCTTGGAGAAGGAGGATGCGGAGCAGTGTTTGCTGGCTACCGCATAAAGGATCATTTACCAGTAAGTGTTCAGATGGTGGTAGTGAGACAGGCAGTAATGCAGATAAGGGATAATATCGTAAGCTGAGACGTGTGCTGTTTTACACCTTTAATTATGTCATACTGAGGAAATGCTCATCAATGCCCTGTGTCTTTTAGGTGGCCATCAAACACATCCCAAAGGGGAAAGTGTACTGCAAAGTGAAGGTAAATGTGCAAGACTTGCATTGTTTTTACATTAGTGGATTGCATGCAGCGTTCACCTGTGGAACGTCTGTGCCTCATCATCCACTTTGTTAAAATATTTCAGGATGACAACGGGAAGAATCTGTCGGTGGAAGTTGCCATCATGCTGAAGCTTGCAGCTGAAGCAGATGGATCAGTGGAAACATCAGCCCCAGTGTCTCTGTTGGAGTGGTTTGACTTTGGCAGAGAGCTGATCCTGGTGATGGAGAGACCTGTCCCCGCTGTGGACCTGGATAAATACATAGAAGAAAATGGAGGATTTTTGCCAGAGGACAAGGCCAAGGCAAGTTGACTTGCCTTAGAAGAGTCTTAGACTGTACATCATTCAATCAAAGCACAGAGTATTAGAGAAACATTAACCCATTGATTGATTATTGTCTTTTTCATCGTTTCCAGGTAGGGCTGGGCTATATCATACCGTTCACGGTAATACCGGTGTAATTTTGGGCAACGATAGGAAAATGAAATATGGCGATAGAATATGGGTAAAACGCGCATATGCAGTGCCTTTGTTTACATATGCACATGGCGGTGACGCAGAAAGAGAAGAGCAAAAGTGGATCGTTGAATGAAACGGATGAACCAGAACTGGTTTGTAAAATGCTGCAGCTTCAGTGGTGTGGAACTGGTTTAGCTTTCGTCCGTCAGATACACAACAAAGCACAATTTTTGGTAGCGCATGCTAGCAGGCCGTCGTTATTACCGTGTTGTATGGAAAATACGGCACACTTAAAATCAATCCTTTGATTTTTCTGAAAGTCGACAGAGCCCCTTATAATCCCGTGCGCCTTATGTATGAACTCTGGTTGTGTTTACTGACCTCGAAACGGTTTTATGTGCACGGCGACTTTGCTAAGCTACAAAGCCGCACCGCTCGATGGATTGTCGGAGCATTACGGCTATCGTAGGCAGGCGCCTCGCGGAGTGATACGTACTGCACCTCAACATGATATTACCGTATTGTGTGTGTATAACCTCTTTTTAAGTTTTGTGGATATTATACATGGTTATGCTGAGGATATGTCGGCCAGTTTCCACTGGAAATGCCTTTTGGTTAAACTGTCAGTGAGGAATTTGCACTGTTACATTTTTATATAACTTTAATGGACATAAAAAGACAGCTGCTTGTTTAAGTGAAAATACATTGATGGGGTTTTTTGCACTAATAAAGTTGTGGAGTTGTAAAGTATTTTGTCTAGTGTCAGTTATATCGTCAGTTATATCGTTATCGCAACTTTTCAAATGTATATCGTGATGAATATTTTTGGTCATATCGCCCTGCTCTATTTCCAGGTCATTCTGAAGCAGCTGGTTGATGCTGCGAAGCACCTGGAGGATAAACACATCTTTCACCGGGACATCAAGAGTGAGAACATTCTAATTGAGACCGGCTCAGATGTACCGCGTGTTCGTATCATCGACTTTGGACTCAGCTGCTTTTTTAAGGAGCGGTCGCAGTACCCCCTCTTCTATGGTAACATATTCTGCTCTTGTTCTTCACAGATGTCACAGTTTTCGCCTTTTGTTTTAGAAGAAATTGCAATTGTGTCTGTTTATTAGGTACAGAAATTTACTCCCCTCCCGAGTGGTACGGGCGCAGTTGCTACAGGTGTGGACCCACCACGGTATGGCAAATGGGAGTGGTTCTGTACGAAGCGCTTCATGCGGGGGACTTTGACACCACGAGCTTCCTCAAAAAGCGCCTGAAATTCAAAAGACATCTGTCCAAAAGTAAGAAAACGTCACACTTCAAGACTGACTGATGGCTTGGACCACTGGAACTATCATCTTCATGTTTTTTCTCTTTCCTTTCTTTCCAGACTGCCGGGATTTCTTGGACGCGTGTTTAACCAAAGTCCCGGAGACGCGGCCGACGCTGGAGGACCTACAGCATCACACTTGGCTGAGATAAGCCTATCACACACACACAAACACACACAATTCAGACGTTATCATTTATGTGTGATGTATGAATTACCTTTCTTTTTTTCAGGAAATAATTTTTTTAATTGGCCCACTTTAAATTTCAGTGTTTTGGAATTCCTGTAACCCCCCAGCCATCCCAGGAAAGGGGATCTCTCTTTGAATGGGCTTTCCCGAGGTTTCTTCCCGTCAATCTGGCCCCCCCAGGGGAGTTTTTCCTCGTCTTCATAGAGAGCTTGGGCTGGCTCAGGAGCTCCATCAAAACTGTCTTTATTTAATTACTCAAATGTAATCATATACTTTAAAGTAATCAAATAAAAAACAGTAAAAATCTAAGACTTGAAGTAAACTTCCATTAAAATAAAACTTGTTTAATTCATCTTTGCTGAGGATACTGTGTTATTACTATTTCAAGGATTATGTCAGAACCGGTGCCATTATGGCACCGGATACTGGTACCCATCCCTACCCATCACTAGGGAACAGAACAAACCAGACATCAATTACAACAAAAATGACACTGACCCAGCCAGCATGACTCGTCTGCCTTCAGAAATGTTTAGCAATATTACAAACTGGGTGATATGCCTTAAAGTAGCTTGTCATGTGTTCAGAATTGTCACAGGCTACATTTTAATTAAAACCACAATCTAGTAATGTTCTGTCTTTAACCTTCCTAATTTGTTTTTTGTCCTAACCTAACACTAAACTGCCAGTGAAAACAAAAGTTACATAAATAAAGAAAATTACGGTCTCACACAGGAGTCAAACCCTAGTTTCTAAAGGATGTCAGTAATAGGAAATTCTATCTTTAAAAAAAACCAAATTGACACACCACTTTGTCAGCCTCGCTGGCGTCAAGAATCATTAGTATGATGCTAAAGCTTTAGTAGAAGTTGCACATCAGTTGGTGTCCCCGCCCCTTATCCCCCTTAAAATCCTAACTTGAAGATGCAGAATTTGCTTCCTAGTAATATGGATGTCATTCATGAAGGTAATACCCAAGCAAATAGCAATTTTATTATGATCTGTGCTGCAGTTGTAAGACCGGGCACTCGAATCTTTCCTAAAACCCTCTCCCCACTCCCTACTGACATTGTCGTGATGTTACTGCTTTCTCACTGCAGTCATGCAATTTATTCTATAAAAAGCTCTTACGGTGTGTTCACACCGAACGCGATAGACGCGAACAGAGCGTCAGGTTTACATGTAAAGTCAATGGAAAAGCGCGATGACCCGCGATTGCGGCTCCTGCGAAAATTCGGAAGCAGATTTGTGTCGCCAAAACGCCTGAAACGCGCGTCAGTCTAGCGCGTTTGGAGCGTTTGACTCGCGAATAAAACCACGCGCGTGACTTTTTGTGTTGCATTTTGTGCATACGCGCGTTACGCGTCTACCTGGAGTTGGAAAAATCTGAACTCCAGCGTCAAATCGTGCCGCGACAACCAATCAGGAGCCTGGTGACGTGGCTGTGACCTAGGTCAAAGGGGCAGATCCAGCCAAACCCCTTCATTCTTCAATGGAAGGAAGGCTAATCAACGCCGTAGCAAACAACCTGGAGCTGTACGACACCAGCTGCTTTCTGGACCGAGACAGGAATATAAAGGACCGAGCTTGGAGGAAGATATGTGAAGGGCAACCTGGTTCATTCATTTCTCTTAAGTTTTCTCTTAAGTTTTCGCTGACCCGGGGAAGCCGCACAAAAGCTAGCAAGCCACCGCTATTTTCCCACTGACGTACAAATACCGTTCTGCTTTCATGCATGTTGTCATATAGGAATATATTTTCTTTATTAATAAGCAGCACACAGTGGTCCCGCTGTCACTGCTTCGCTTTTCCGCTGATTTTCTTTTTCTTTTCTCTTTTTTGCACCGTACAGCATTGCATTCTGCAGCCTGATTGACAAATCTGCTCCATGTCATGTCTCCTGCGCTTGCCAAATTTATCATGTTTGGTTTTGATAACCATCACGTCCAATAGAAAAAACAGCACAAAAACACCCATAACTATGAGCCTCATTCGGAAATAGACACCTGCACCGCGAGGGGAAAGGGCGCACGAAAGTGGCGGGCAGATGAAGACAAAACGCGGCATAATAATACTTTGAGAATCAATTGTGAGAACTGTGACCAATGTTCATGTGTGTGGGGAAAACAGTGTATAAAGTGCGTGGCCAGGGGCTAGTTATTCTGAGAACCCCTGCTGCAATAAAGGAGGGACCACTGTATATACTTTCTCTGATTATATTCAACCTGTTAGCATTTAATACTGTATTGATAGAGCCAACTGGTTCTGCAGCAGAGCATCCCCTGTTGCTTCTCCTGGCTCCCCAGTCCCTGAGCTCCTGCTGCTGCACCCACAGGTATGTACAGCAAGCACTGATACCTTTTTAGTCGGTGGGATTGCCTTGTGATCACCTTTACTAAATATCTACAACCAATCTGATTATATCCTGTTTTTGTTTTTTTTCACTGTTGAAATTAAAATCTAGTAGCAGCCTTCTCATTTCTTTGTGTTTTGTGCTGTTTTACAGGCCCACAGAGGAGGACGGCTCCGAGGCAGATGAGGGACGGGTCCCAGGACGGTCCATCGGCGGTGGAGCTGGCCACCCTGGAGTCCCTGAAGAGACCACACCAGTCTCCAATGGAGCATTTCCTCCTCAGCCTTGTTCCTGCTCTGGAGAGCAGCTGGTCCTTTTTATTCCTGTCTCTCTGTAAATACTTATATTTTATATATTTATGTTTAATGTTTTTCTGTTTGAGAATTTTAATATTATTTCAAATACATTTTTATAATGACTAATGTCTCAGTTCTACTACACAGCAAATGTTGGCACACGACTTGACACATGTAGAAGTTATTTCATATTATACTAATGACAAAATATACTAATACAGTGGGATGCAAAAGTTTGGGCAACCTTGTTAATAGACATTATTTTCCTGTATAAATCGTTGGTTGTTACAATAAAAAAGGTCAGTTAAATATCATACAGGAGACACACACAGTGATATTTGAGAAGTGAAAAGAAGTTTACTGGATTTACAGAAAGTGTGCAATAATTGTTTAAACAAAATCAAGCAGGTGCATAAATTTGGGCACCACAAAAAAGAAATGCAATAAATATTTAGTGTATATCAAAGTGTGTGTCTCCTATATGATATATGGGGTGCCTTTGTCTGGACGTGCTTCCCATCCAGAGCTGCACAGCACAGAGGGAAGTTCCAGCGCTCCTGGAATCCCTCTGTGATGGACCGCCAGTCTCCAGGTGAAGGCGCAGCCATGAAGTCGTCCACTAGAAAGTCCCAGATGGCCGTCGCTATTTTCGACGTCGCAAACATTTTCTTAAAACCCTACCTCTGTCTGGAACTTTATACCATATTTTCTCTCGTTTTGGTGGCTTTAATTTTATTTTAAATTGTAATTACAATGTTGAGAAACTCCCTGTAAAGCTTTCATCCTTCCATAAGCAGGTCCTCTTAGCGTGGACCCTCATTTATAAACACAACTTCTCACCTCACAAATACCTCATCTGGAACAACAGAGATATTTTATAGAAAAATAAATCACTTTTCCTGGAAACTTGGCTCCAAAATGGGATCCTATTGGTGGCTCAGCTGGTTAGTAAAGAGGGACAACTACTTACTTACAACGACTTTATTGCACTATATAATTTTCCAATCAGTGTTCAGGAATTCTCAATGGTGCTTGGTGCCATACCCTCAGGGACTTTAATGTTATATAAAAACACTGACAGCTCGATCTCTACCTCAGTCACTCTCCCTGATCCAGCTGAGTCACCAATAGGAAAAATCTGCTTTTCACAGGAACTTGGTAACAGCAATAAGAGAATACGTAGTTTATTCCAAGAAGATATCGTCTCTCTCCCATATATAATATCTTATTGGAACCGATATGTTCCAGATATCAAGTGGAAGATAGTCTGGATGGTCCCCCATAAATATTTGATTGTAAATAAGGTGAAAGAAGTCTCTTTTAAAATTCGACATAAATGTTATCCAGCCAGTCACTACATGGCCAAATTTAAAAGGGACATAAATACTAATTGTACTTTCTGTGGGGATCATCCAGAAACTGTGACACATCTTTTTTGGTACTGTTCTTTTACACAGAGATTCTGGAAGGAATTTAGCAGGTTTGTTATTGTCCATATTTTAAGGGAGTTTTCTTTACGATGGGAAAATGTTTTATTCTGTTTCTTTAAGTTCCCCAAGAAGTATGAGAAAAAATTTTTTATGATAAATTTCTTAATACTTTTAGCTAAATTTTTGATCCATAAATGTAAGTTTACTAACAAAACACCATATTTCTGTCATTATTTTAAGGATGTGGAAATGTACATACAATCAATATCAGACTGCACCAACAAAAAGGCTCAAAACAATATATGTATGTGAATTTTTGCGTGTATTCTTATAATTGTTACCTTTTTCTTTTACCCTTGGCTTTTATATTTATTTACGTATTTAAATATGATTTTTTTTAAAGTAATGCTGCGAGATGGACAGTTAAAGGTTTCATTGAATAAAAAAAAAGATTTAAAGATGACTGGTGGCGGAAGCAGAGCACAGACTGTGAGAATCTATCGCCATCGTGTGGTGCAGAGATATATTTCC